CGTAAAAAGACAGTATAAGTCATTATAATCCGTAATTATGTCCCCACTGGATGCAACAAATGCCTCGTTTATAATGGGTTTTAATGTTTTTGTCTCGTCGCTCCAGGGCACGGCCTGACAGTATGGTAAGGGGCGTAACATTTCCGTCACATACTTGAGGTATTCGGCCAATCACAACGCACTGGATAGCTGGCCAATCAGAGCACACTTCGCTTTTCAGACCAATGAGCTTTGTAAAAATCGACGCGTTTCAGAAAGGCGGGGCATAGAGGAGAAACAATAATGTACAGTATGTGGAAAATAATGTGTTTTTTTAACCTTAAACCGCATAAACACATTTCATTACACCAAACACACAAAATAATGTTCTTTTTAGCAACATCATATGACCCCTTTAAGGCAGTAAGTCACAAAAATTATGATTTCGGGGCAGATTATCGATTAATAAAGACTTATTTTCGTGTGGTTGCTTGAACAATATTATGTTATGACCTCAAAACACTTTTACCATAGTGCAAGATATGTAAACTAATACAGTGTGATGTTTGCATCATATTGCCAGCTCCATAGTCTGGCTTTTCTGACATAGTAAACTTGCTCAGTAGCTCACCTGGTACAGCATTGCTTGAGATTCATAACACTTGGGTACGAGTCCTGTGAAACACAAGTTATGATAAAAGAGCTCAAAGACTTGTAGAAGCAAGCTAAATTGCATCGTTGCTTCAGCAAATGCATTTTTTTTAATCTAACATTTGTTTTTGTTCACATTATTGGTAAGGTTTAGGGTATGATTTAGTGAGCCCAGTCTCATGAAAATGCATATAAATAGTACGCCAAATAAAAACAGAAAATCGTGGTATTGATACGCAAAAATTGACTTTGGCGTGCATATGATACGCACATGTTTAGCGTGCATATAATACGCAGTTTTCACATGCATATGATACGAAATGTGTTGGCATGCATATGATAAGCAGTTCTCGCGTACATATGATACACATCTACCCCACAACCCTAATCCTACCCATTGTGTCATATGCACGCCAAAGTCAATTTTTGCGTATAAACAGTACACCAAATCGAAACATAAACTCAAGCTATTGATACGCACTTTCATGAGATCAGGTTGGATTTAGTGCAGGTGGTACGTTATTTTCAAGTGTGACAGAACATTAATGCCACTCACTGGACATTTCATTTCCGAAATGCCACAATACATACAAAAACCAATGCAAATAAAATGTTGCTAGATATTGTTTTGGATAAAATTGAACATGTTCTGTACTGGAGTGTTGCAAAACATTCTAGAAGCAATGTGATATAATTTAACACTTTGAGCCAGATTTACTAGACAGGGCAAATTAGCCTGAGACTGCAATAAACACCAGAAAATTTACTGATTTATTTAAAGGTCCCCTGAAATGCTTAGAAACACGCAGCGTTACTCTATGTGTTGACGTCATTTTAACTGAAACAGGAAGACAGGGCGGGACATATCAAGCAGCCCCGCCCCTTTTTAAAATAGCCAATAGCGTTCGTTTATATCACAGCTTGGGCTAGAGCCGTTCAGAGCCATTGAGCTCCGTAAAGCCGCATTTGACAGGGTATGCCAGCCACAATCTCATCCATATTGCTATAAAATATAGCATTCTGTGTAGAATTCAAATAGCTCCAATACATTTTGTGGTCTGCACCGACTCGCGCATGTGATCCGCTCCATGCTATCGTGTCTCTGGACGGGAGCAGAGTGTGTGTGCGGTGCGGTGGTTAGCGTGACACAGCGCGAAACCAGACTTCTTTTTTTCCTCAATGGAAAGCATATTTACACTGTTTGAATCGTTCCCTGTCCCCTATATAGTGCACTACATGCCATTCACTGTACAGAAAATACTAATTCTGTGGACAAGTGACCGATTTCAGCCGCAGCTTCAGCGTCTATTTTATAGTGTTGGGGGAGGGCGCTTCGGATTCTAGAGAGCATTTGATTGGACATTAAGTTTGATGAGAAGCTGAAGTACGATGTGATGTCAAAAAAATCATTGAGCCGTTTTGGCGGAAGTGACGAACTGCAAGCTTTGAATGCTTATATCTTCTAAATGCGAATTTTGTCACTGTTTTGGAGCACACTGCCTTATAGATAACCTTAAGACTAACATATTGATACTAACACCCAAAAAACTTTAATTTTGATTTCATGGGGACTTTAAGAACTCTCCTTCCATAAATGTTGCGTCTTAAAGTGAAACTCCTACAAATGTATATGCAGTAAGGTCAGCCCTCCAAAATAACCGTCCACAATTTTCTTCACAAATTTTTCACTGCACGTCTTTAGTAAATCCTGATATTATTATTTTTTTAAAGGCAAAAGAGGGTTTAGACTGGCACAAGCTGTTGCAGCCTGCGTTGTCCTGGCCCTGTTCTCCCAATATAATTTCCCATACTCTTTCTACTGTAAGAGAGAGAGAGAGAGAGAGAGAGAGAGGGAGAGAGAGAGAAGAGAGAATTGTAGTTATAGTTTGTATAACTTGCATTACATATTTCATTCATACAGTTGAGCCAAAATGTATTCTGTTATTTACTTATGTCTCACTTTTATTGTCCTGGTCCGTTCTCCTTATAATTTCCTGTACTATTTTTACTGTAATAAAAAAAATGTAAACATGTTTATATAATATTTGTTACTTAAAATGACACTTTTCAAACACTTGTATAATATATTTCTCATAACAGTGCTGTCAATGCATTGCTTAAAGGGAAAGTTCACCCAAAAATGAAAACTGTCATTTACCTGTATGACTTTTTCTTCAGCAAAACATAAAAGAAGACGTGTGTGTGTGTTTTTTATTTTATTTAATGTAATGTTATTTTGGACACCGACTTTCATTTTAGGGACAAAAACAGCTGAAACATTCTTCAAAATATCTTCTTTTGTGTTCTGCAAAAGAAAGGAAGTCATACAGGTTTGGAATGAGGGTAAGTAATGACAGAATCGTAATTCTTGTGTGAAACTATGCCCTCTACGTATATCAGATTTCACCAAAAAAAAAAAAAAAAACAAGTTCAGAAGCAACATGGTCTCAAAGAAAGCATTTAGAACTGTGAGTGTGCATTACACATGTTGAGAGCCGCGACTCTGCTTCACAGGAGCTCACCAATAAATGCCTCCCTGCCAGTCAGGCTCATTTAATACGGCATGCACTGCTAAATACCTCCCCCGTCACTCTTTCTCAGTCCCACACACACATAGTGCAGTTTATAGGCTCTTCACAGAGACAATATGTACAAGCTGAGGAAAAAATAGAGGAAGGGAGATAGAGGGAATGGAAGAGAGAAAGAGCGTCTGAGAGGAAATACTATTATGTAAATGCTGCTGCGGATTGGGGTGAAATTATTTTGGTGTCGCGCGATTAGGGGCCTCATCTGTTATTGATGTGAGTGGAGAGGAGAGCCATTACAGAGGGGCTGTGTCAAAAATGACCCCCGAGAAAACTGTGACCCCAGAGAGAAATCCAGAGAGCAAGGAATACAGCTGAAATGGAATTCCAGTGAGTTTCAGATAGGCTACGTGCTTGTTATTTAGTCAAAATCAATAAAAGTCTTTTTTTGTTGCTGTTGTTTTTATCTATTACTCTGTTTTTCTTCGTTTCATCTCAATTTATTTTACAAACCCCATTCCTTTACACATTTTTTCTCTCTCTCAATGTCTGGCTTCTCTCCAATCTTTGCCCCAGCTGTGGTGTGTGCGAGTGTGTTCCGCGTCTATATGTGAAATGTGTGTGTGCATCATGGGCGCTGATGGGTTGCGTAGCTTCAGAATTGACAACACTTACAGGCTAAAATGAGAATCATCCATCTTCACTAGGCTGCTGTCAGAGGCAGGGCCAAACTTCATAATCCCCAATTACTAGCGCTAACCTCCCCATCTACATACACACATGATGAGGGGGCGGGTGCGAGCCGCATAAATAGAGAGGAAATGCCTCAGACTGAAACAGAGAAACAGACAGTGGAAAGGAGTCAGGGATGGAGAGAGAGAGAGAGAGAGAGAGGGAGGAAGTGGACGGTGTGAGCTGTGATTGGTAAGGTCACAGTCTACTGCCCTCGCCGTGGTGATGAGCACTGAGGTGTTTAAGGGGTCACTGGGATACACACATACATTCATACACAAACACTAACAAACACCCTGCTTACATTGTGTATTAGATAGGGATTTAAAAGTTGTGGTTTTTCAGTTCAGTAATTTTAGTATCTAGAATTACAGTTTTATCCACAATTCTTTTAGTACTTTAGACGAACCTCCCTCTCTCAATAATCTGGTCTAACTACATACATACAAACAAACAAACAAATAATTCAGTTTTCTTGCAGTTGAAATGGGATGTGCGAGATAGATAGATAGATAGATAGATAGATAGATAGATAGATGGCTTTAGTTTTACAATTGTTCAAAGGTGGCTGGTAAGATTTTTAAAATGTTTTTGAAAGAAGAAATCTCTTATGCTCACCAAGGTTGCATTTATTTGATAAAAAATACAGTAAAAACAGTAATCTTGTGAAATATTATTACATTCTTAGTTATTAATTATTCTCAATTACTACATTATTAATTCTTAAGAAATCATTCTAATTTTCTGATTTGGTGCTCAAGAAACAAAACAAAAAAAATTACCACAAGCTTTAAATGCATATCACAACAGGGAACTGCAATTTGCTTTTTGAGCATATAGGACAGTAAAAATTAGTTAGTGTATATTGTGCATACACTAAAACACCAGAGGAAATTATTCAATTATCAATAATCAGAAATATTTAGGTTGTATTAAAGGGGTCATATGATGTTGCTAAAAGTGCGTTGTGATTGGCCGAATACCTCAAGCGTGTGATGGAAATGTTACTCCCCTTACCTGCCCCTTACCCCTGACAAACACCAAGTGCTACGATACACTGCTCAAAACTCGCGTTTGAATCGTCAGTGGCAAATCCCTTACCATATTGTGATGCCTGCAGCAACCACATGTGACTACCCCGGGCTGGACTCCGCTTCGTCCACGGTGAAAGCCGATCCGGCGATTCACAGTGCAAAGTTGGTGTATTTCCTCAGCGACCATGGAATCATGGATCAGCTCTAGGCATGACGAAGCAGATATCGTCCTCTTTTGGAAGGCCAAACAAAGTAGTTTCGCTTTCACAACAAACACACAGCGCCTTCACGACATGGCGGCGGCGCCAACAACAATAGAAGTTACGCCTTCTTTCTTTGCGTGAACATTTGGGCGGTGTTATGCAAATCTTCCCACATCGTGACGTAGACATGTGGGGGCGTGTTAGAACGAGCCATTTTAGGTAGGCGTGGTTGACTCTTAACTTTTATAAAGAATATCTCTTTGGATTTGAGACTTTAGTCTTTGCAACTTTACAGATCTTCTTTATGCACCAAGAGCTTGTAACACTTCAAAGAGAAAGGAAAAATTGAAATCGCATCATATGACCCCTTTAAGCTGGTACTGCACATTTTATTCCCAGTGTTAGAGTACTTTTGCACTTTTTTACACATTTATGCATAGTAAAGGCAACAGTCTTTAAAAAGCTAAATTAAATATTAATAATGTCAGATTATGTAAATGTTACCTTTTTATTTTTTCCATTTTATTAATTTATTTTTTATTATTTATTTATATTTTGATATTTATATTTTGATGTATGTCACCATACATCAGTTTGAGAACTTTATAACTTTAACTATAACTTTAACTTTGTTTATTATAACTATAACTTTCATATCTTTAAATACAGAACATCATATGGACAACTAGTCAGTAATTATGCAGATTTAAAAGCTGAACATGTGCTTGGCTTAAGTCGGATATGACAAAAACAATGAATTGTGGTTCATTAAAGAGTCACTTTGACAGATTCAGTGAGTGTCTGCAAAATTGTAAATGTGTAACTTTTAGGAGTACAAATATAGATGGACAGACACGGACTAAAATCCACAAAACTCTTCCTGAAATCAAATTATGTGGTTCTAGTAGTTTTTTTTTTTAATGGAAGCCATTCTGAGTGGACAGAGAGGATTAGTATGCCCAGTAAAAAAGCACAAGCTTAGTTGCAGCTTAACATTTATTTACAGATATGTTAAAGTGGATGGTAATAGCTTGTAATGATGTAACTGTACGGTAACAGCAGGGGCAGGTGTACTATTGTTGGGGTTTAATTCACTCCTAATCAGGGTTATTAATAACCTCCTCCTGGACTAAAACAGAAGCGACATCCACTTCCCAAACTCTGCCATCAAACCACATCCACACCTGAGTGACAAACCCCATTACCGCCAATGGAGATGAATCACTGTGGGTGTGGGGTGGGACAGAGATCATTGTAAGTAATTGGTCATGAAAGCACACAAACGGGGTCAGTCTGAGGTCGGCCACATACATCACCTGGATCTATGCCACCACTTCTCATTAGTGTTGACTACGTACCTGTGTGCCATTCACAAACACATGATGAGGGTTAACATGCATTTCATGAAGTTGATTTTCTTCCATTGTAGCCATCTAATGAAATCTCTCTCCAGACATCTGATTACTCGGCTATGGCGTCTTTGGCTGGCGGACTGGAGGAGATGAAGAACAGCTTGGCCAATCAGACGGGAGCAGAACTGGGTTCCACTGTTGCAGGGCCTCAATCGTATCCACTTGTGTCTGGTAAGCAAACTACCTATATGTTAAAAACACACACATACACAATTTCACTTTCACTGTGGAGTTTTCCCAGATGTTTGCTTATCAAAGCGACCCATTCCACCCAAGTCCAAATTGTGAGAGAAAATGTTGTAAAAATGATTAAAATAAGAAAATAACCTTTTTTTTTTTTTTATTCAGACTACAGAGAAAAAAAAAACAGAATTTTAAGATATAAACTTGCAATTATGAGAAAAAAAGTCAGAATTGTGAAATAAAAAGTGACAATTACCTTTTTTATTTTGTATTTTTATATTCCATGACAGAAACAAGCTTTGTTTAGTAGATAAAAAGCTAAAAAAAAAAAAAAGCTTGCTTTGTTTAGTGGATAAAAAAATGTAAGGCTTAAATTATTCAAAAAACACAGAAATGGAAATTATGTTGGAACTGGAATTAAACAGCAGACACTTTTGTCTGAGATCTGCTAGGCTTCTTCTGTATTATAGCTGTGTTAAACATGTATTAGAACCACCCGATTGTGGATCAGCTTGCTGTGGGCAGCTCAGAGGTGAGATGAGAGTGTTATCAGACCTGTTAAACAGTGCTTAGTGATTCAGATTCACACTCTATATCCTAAGGGACAGAGGGAGTGGATGGAGACCTGTAATTACTATATACACGTCTCGTTCTCTCCCGTACTGGCTCACTCCATTTGGGAGTAAGGGAGCGCTAATTAAGAGCTGCTTGGACAGGAGCCCTAACGAGGGAATCATGGAATTGGGATTTGTGGACCATCTGACAAGGTAGAGCGAAACCTGTATGTCTAGACTGTGTGTGTGTTTGTGCTTGTGTGCGTGTGTGTGTGTGTGTGTGTGTGTGTGGAAGGAGAGAAAGCCAAAATGAATTACAAACAGAGCTTGCCTCATAATGGACCATGTGAAAAGACTATGGAACGGGTACCTCTTGTTTGCATAATGGCACCCCCTATTGGCAGAAATGAACATTTTATTTTTACATTAACAATTTTTATCAATTTACAAATGATACATTCAAGCAATGACATTTATACTGGAATGCAGAAAAAAAATGTTAAAAATATAAAGAGAAACAAAAACATTTTTTTTTATTTTGCCTATTTTTTATCTCTTGTTTAGTTTATAGAAATGTGATGAGATCGAGAAGTGACACAAGTAGCCCCCTCTACTACACATATACCATTTTTTCCCAATGATTTTATCTCTTTTTTTTTAGCAGGAAAATCTTTTCCTGTCTACCCTCTTTCATTCTTCTCTTTTCTGACAACGTCTCTCAGAGGACTAGGCCTTGTCTGTTCTTCCTCTGAAGAGTCCATCTCTCTCTGTCCTTCGCTGTTGCCCTGTCCACTGACCCAGAGTGGATTAGTATCCAGTCTTCACTAATGTCTTCCTGTCACCTAACATGGACAACTCCCTAACATGGCAAACAGCAGAACAGAGAGTGTGAGACTCTGTATGTAACTGCGTCAGGTCCGGACAAGGTACATTTGTTTTGAAATGCTAAACATGCATTAATTACCAATATTTTGGTATGTTACTTTTTACATTTTGGCTGCTTCAGGCATTGTTCATTGCTAACATATTGCTGAAAAGCTTATATTTGGTTGTTTATGGCAGGCTCCATTCTGACAACTTACCCCAATGCCCCTTTTTGTATGGTACTTTGAATTTATTGAAAGGATAGCATCTTCATTTTCAAGGGGGTCCTAAAAACACAAAAACAAAATATTACAACAAACAAAACCATACAAAACATGTACACACAAATATACAAAACAGAAGACATGCTCAACCAATCCCCTACACCCACAGCAGGATTACAATACAAGCAATGTCATATATAAACAGAATCAACCTAATAAAACTTAAAAGCATACACAAATTATTTTGAGATAAGAAAATAAAGATGACCTAAAGCAATAAAGGTAAGTAACAAATCTCAAAGACTGAGGAAGATTATTCCAATCAGAAGGAGTTTTATATTGAAAAGACATATGTGCGTTCTCTCTAAAAATTCTGAGAACAAAAAAGAACAGAAATTGTACATGTCTGAATAAGAAAATCTGTATGGAATCAAGTACTGTTTCAAATACCAAGGACAATCAAAATAAAAGCATTTAAAAATAAACAGATAACAATTACATTGTCTTCTTGATTTAGGATGTAACCAATTAAGCATTTCGCACATATGGCAGTGATGAGTACGATATGGACAGCTTAAAATAAATCTACACAAGGAGTTGTAAACCACATTAAGAGGCTTCAGATAAGTATCAGAGGTATTTTGATATATGATATCAGCATAATCAATAAGAGATAATATTACCTGGGAAATATTTATTTTCCTAACTTGACGTGTAAAACTATATGGAACAACAACGTAAACGCAAACAACCGTATGTTCTATTAACAATATAATCAATATGGGGCTTAAAAAATGTCATAATCAAAAGTAATATTCAAATCAAAAGTAAAAGAATGACACCGTCGCGTGCCAAATAACTGTCACAAACGCTTCTGTGAGGAGCACGGAGCGCGGAACGAGGAGACGTGGAGTAAACTTCTAACAAACAGACTTTAATTAACATCCAATGGAACTAGGAACACACACGTAGTGGGAATAGACAAACATTCAATACCAGACAAACTCAGAAAGCACAGACAGGACCTTAAATACATGGGGTAATTGACAACAGACACCTGGAACTAATGAAACAATTAACATGAGAAAACTGGGTCATGGAGCACATGGAGAGGGAAAAACACACAGAATGAGTCCAGGGGCGTGACATATCGCCCCTCTCCCGGAAGGCGCGTCCTCGCGCCGTAGAACAACAGAGGGGGGGGCACGGGTGGGAACTTGGGAGGTGGCTCGGGAGAAGGACGGACACGGGCCGGTAGACAGAGTGCAGGGAGGTGACGATGGAGGGAGGAGCCAGGGAGGCGACAGGAAGGACTTGGAGCAAGAGGGGCCAAACAGGACCCAGGTCACAGACATGATGGCGACCCACAGTAGAGCCGACAGAGGGAGGAGCCATGGAGGAGGAAGGGCCGACGACTCCAGGGGGGCGACCAAAGGCGGTGGAGCAGGTGGCGGAGGAGCCCGAGGTGGAGATGGAGAGCTGATGAGCCAGGGAGATGGGGAGGATCAGGAGGGCCAAGGCGGAGCAGATGGTGACGGCGACTGACGCGGAGGCAGGGATCCGAAAGGCCGCAGTGGAGCCGGAGCGACAAAGGACTGAGGAGAAGCCGAAGGGATGAAGGAGCCTGACAGAGCCGGAGGGACAAGGAATGGAGTCCCGAGGCGCAGGATGGTCGACGTCAGACCAAGGCGGAGCCGGAGGGACGAGGGAGCCCGGCGGAGTTAGTGGACTGCCGGGCCACGGCGGAGAGGAGGGAGCTAGGAGCCATGGTGGAGCCGACGGGTCCACGAGCCGAGGCGGAGTCCGGGACTTAGAGGCTGGAGGCGGAGTCAAGGGAAACTCAGTGTGGCTGTTTAGCAGTCTTATCACTTACAGGAAGTAAATGTTTCTAAAGTGTGTTTATTCTGCATGGAATGCTTCTGTACTAATTCCCACACAGTCAAAAATGTATCGGCTATTGAGTGAGGTAGCTGAGGTCACTGAGAATATACCTGACCTCACTAAGACATACACTTGGGGCAGATTTGTGATCTGATCTTTTTTGGCAAAAATCTCCCCACTTATTTTGTCACACGCTAGATCACTTTCATGAAAGGCCAAGTGCCACACATAAATACAAAAACTGACAAGCCATGTTATGGCTTATGTTATGCAACTTATGAGCCAACAGGAAGTGATGTAACGAAAAGGATCAACAAAGCAACAGCAATTTCCATTGTAATTTGTGGTTTTGGTTCAATGCAGTGAATTTTGAATCCCTTTGCTTGCTGCACTTCCTCATAACATGTGCAGCATGATAAAATGTTGAGTGACAGAGCGGTGAGTAAACGCAGCTTCTCTGTAGTTCGAAACGCATTCAGGACGGATAGCATTTCCATTACAAATGCAATGTGGTTAGGGCTGTGACGGTTGCTGTGACAACCGCGTCACCGCGGTGGTCGGTTGCCACCAGCAATAGTACACGTGACATCACGCACTCTATAACAAGCATAATACGAAGTTTTGTATACGATAATAAGTAATAAGAGTAATATTACTTAAATTACTGTTAAGTAATAGTTGCAAATTGTTTTATTTAGACTATAAGTCTATGGTAATTCACAAATGATCTCAAACGACATACACAGCATTTCCTTTAGATTAGCAGGTTTGAGCGCAGGAAAATACAGTTTATGCATTCAGCAAATTAATTCTGTGTTGGGCGACGGACCTTGTTGGGAAACCAAATACTACATTGCCGATCTGGAGCCATCTCCATTCATGTCACCCATCCGCATTTGTACAAGTGTCTTCTCAAGTTCCCGTCATCGCAAACGCCTGGCTGGTCAGGTTTGGTGAGGCTTTCTCCAAACTAGCCAAATACAAACGAGATAGCGATAAATGGTAGATGTTAACAAGAAATGTGGGAACGATTCCTATTTCAAAGAGAGGGCGTGCAGACGAGGAGTTAATGCGGCGCTTGCTCGGTGGCGGAACAGTGAACCGTGTCTACACCGGACACGACACCGCCGCATCGCAACAGGTTGAGTCTGTGTCTACA